TTACTCCTAGGATGTTTGAAGGGATATAGATTTTCATGAAAGACAACATCCCTGCTAACTATGAATTTTTTGGCCTCAATGTCATATATTTTATATCCCTTTTGAGTAGTAGCATAGCCCATAAAGACACCAAGGACAGATTTAAGAGTAAATTTGTCATTGAAAATCTGGTTTTGTGGCATAGCAGAGGTATCCTAAAGTTCTGATGTGAGAAAAAATAGGAGGTTTACCATGAAAAATCTCATAAGGTGACTTTCCATGTAGAATAACACTTGGTAGTCTATTAATGATATAAGTAGCAGTAAGAATGCAATCCTCCCAAAACTTTAAGGGTATATTAGCCTAAAACCTCAAGGCCCTTCCTAATTCTAGGATATGTCTGTGCTTCATATCCACAACACCATTTTGTTATGGAGTGTGAACACAACTACTTTGGTGGATGATCCCCTTGGTTTTGAAAAGATTATAGCAGAGGTTGTTAAAAAATTCATGGCCATTATCTGATCTAAAGGCTTTAATAGTGGTTGAGAACTGATTTTCAACAAGATGTAGAAATTCAGTTAAAATGACACACATCATTTTTTAACCTCAAAAGAAAAGTCCAAGTCATTCTTGAATAGTCATCAACAAGAGTAAGAAAATACTTGAATCCATTATAAGTATAGACTCTATATGGACCCCACACATCCATATGTACAAGTTGAAAGACACAATTAGACTTGGAAGTACTAACATGGATAGGTAGCCTAGTTTGTTTAGCTAGTGGACATATAGGACAGTGACAAGTAGAAATACAGGACAACTGTTTATTTAGATCAGGGATATTTTTCAATACTCCAAGAGGTGCATGACCCAACCGTTGGTGCCATAATGCACTTGAATTTGACTGAATTGAAGCAGACACACAATTAGAGGCAGAAGTAGTAACAAGTATTGAGGGATTGAGGATGTAGAGACCATCCTTGAGTTTACCAATCCCCTTCACCATACCACTGAAGAGGTCCTGAAAGACACAAAAATCAGGATAGAAATGAACCGAGCTGTTTAACTCTTTTGTATATCTAGAAACAGAGAGTAGATTAAATTGGAATTCAGGAACATAAAGAACATCATAAAGGATTTCTGAGTTAGGCAAAGTACATGATCCAGTATGAGTAACTTTAGTACTATTTCCATTTGGTAAATGTATAGTAGGTGATTTGAGTTCAGGTACAAGGTATACTGATGATAGTAGATAGAAGGCAGAAATAATGTGATTAGAAGCCCCAGTATCTATAATCCAAGGACTTTGGTTAGTGGCAGAGTTACATGCCATGTTGGCTGAGGCATGAGGACCATTTTCCTTATTTAGCAACTTGAGAATTTGTTGATATTGTTCAATAGTGAAAGGCTGGACTGTTGGAACAACATTCCTATGCACACCAGTGTTAACTTCCTCCCCAACAGTCACATTATGTGCTACAGTTGTTGATTGTTCATATGATCTTCTTCTCCTGTTATTGAATTTGAATCCAGATGGGTATCCAATCAATTTGTAGCAACCTTCCCTCGTATGACCCTTCATTTTGCAGTAATCATAGTATAACCCAGCATTTCTCTTAGGCTTAACATTGAAGGCATTTACAGAAGCTAGTGCAGTATGATCAAAATCCACAGGAGCACTTCCTAATATACCACCATGTGTTACTAAACCATTGTTCTTCCTCTGACTTTCTTCCTGAATAATCATGGAGTAGGCTTGATCAAGAGAGGGTGTTGGATGCATCATGAGAATTTGGCTCATTTGTGGTGCATAAGTGTAATTTAATCCCATCAAAAATTTCATGAGTTTCTGTTGGCGTAAAAATTCAATGAATGGTCCTGACCTCTCACAATCACAAGGTTTTGGAATCAACGACTCGAATTCATCCTACAAATCATTTAGGTTTAAAACATATACTGATACACTAGAAACTCCTTGTACCAATAAGCTAATCTCCATATTCATGTGATAAATTTTGGTTAAATTTATCTTATCAAACCTGGTCTTCAACACAATCCAGACTTTCTGTGCATTTGAGGAGAATACAATTCCCTTTCTAAGCTCCTTAGCCACCGAGCTCATTATCTATGATTAAACAATCGCATTGCATCGATCCCACTGACGCAATTGGAAGGTATTGTTGAAGTACAAATCTCTAGTGCACGTTCCATCAATAAACCCCAATTTATTCTTCCTAAGGAGTGACATTTTCATAGATCGACTCCATTCCGAATAAGTTTCAGTTCCTATGAGTAATTGTGGGACGATCTATAAACCAGGTGTGTCGGAGGGATGTACATACAAAGGATAATTACAATCAATGTGTTGATTGTTTGCATGTGAAGATCCTACTGTGTTTTCAACAGTATCATTCGCCATTGAAGATAATTTTTGAAGTTTTGAGATAAAAAATTGAGCTTGAGAGATGGTGATGAATTGAGAAATATTTTAACCCAAAACTGAGAGAAATCGAAGAAGAGAGAGAGAAAATTTGAAGATCGGAGTCCGTCGCTCAGAATCGCCGAGCACCGTGGCTTTGATACCATATCAAAACTAGCCCTAGGGTAGCCATTAGAGGGCTTTGAGCTGTTAGTGAAGAAAAAGAAAAAGAAGATTCTAGAGAGAGAAAAAATGTAAAGCTTTTATTCAGTGTAATAATCCTATGAACATTGATTGTGCATATATATACACTAATGCACTCAACTAACTAACAACCCTTATACACATGTGCTAACTAACTACTCTAACTTATTCTAGAAGTGTACACCTTAAATAGCTCACTGTACAATCACTACTTATCTCTACATAACTAATAGAAGTTCTTTCCTTATCTGGCAATCTCCTCAAGTTCATATATATAAAGGTATATCACTAGCCTTGCTCTTTTAAGTGGTTTTTTTTGTGAGATATTATTCACTCTATCACTTTCTTGTTCTACTAGACTAGTAATGAACACAGTAATTTTCATTGTCTGTCGTACGTGCTGCTTTCAAAATTAAGAAACAACAAACCGAAGAGATAATTTAAGACAACTATTTTTAGAGATCACAACAGATAATTTGAGATGAAGGAATAGTATAAGAATGAACTACTTGTAGGGAGCATTGAACAAAAGAATGCCAACTTGTCGACGTCTCGTTGGCTCATTTAGAATGGCCCTATTCTGGGATACCCCAAATAAGAATTTATTTGTTGTTCTCAAAGACAAGCCTATTGCTCACGATAGAGTAATCGATCTTGATGACATGGAGGCCCTCAATTGTGAGGTAAAGAATTTGTTTGATTTTCTAGGATGGTTTAAATTCCTATTTGTACCCCCTCCCAAAGTTTATGAACCTTTAGTGAGGATGTTCTATGCCAATATTTGTTTTAGCAAACATGATAAGTTAGAATCTCTAGTTCTAGGAAAACACATTGTCCTTGATTGTGCCATGTTTGACTCAAATTTTCAGTGTAAGTGCTGATTTTCCCATGCTTTTCAAAAATACTTGGCCTGATGACTTGGAAATCTCTTTTGATCAAGCAAAATGTTGTATAACTGAGTGTCCATCTGATTTCCTTCCTAACCAGTTAGGTCCCAACGATGTTAGTTTCGAAACCCAACTTCTGGCCTACATTATTGCAACTACCCTTCTTCCTCGCACTTGCTCATTCTCCACCTCCTTTCAACGAGACACCTTTCTTGTCTATTGTCTTGTGACCAAACTTAAGGTTAAACTGTCCTCATGGATCATAAACTTCATGATTGTAAGTATTGATGACCCCACTAGTCTATCCTATGGTATGGCTATCACATCTTGGAAGCCCACAATATCTCTATCTCAGAATACCCTTTTGTTTATGTTTCAAAGACCTACAACTCTAGAGCCTTTGCCAGTATGGGGTATATGTGTGTTTAGGGTTCCTGGGTGAAGAAACAGGAGGGTGAAGTCAAGAATGTTCAACCTGATTCTAAGATCAAAGCCTCTGCTTCCCATCATAGTGTAAGTGATCCTGATCTTGTAGAAATATTGACAGATATTGACAACAAGCTGACCATCATCAAGGACCTTCTTCCTGTAACTCAATCAATGGTTGAGGACATCCATACCATCTCCAAAGAGATTGGGTCCGATGTTTCAAAAATAAAGGTCAAAATTATCAAACTTGTAGAAAATGCAGTCAAAGCCTTCAAGAAAATACATGAACGGATTGATGGGGTGACCGTTTCAGCTAATGCCAGCTTCGAGCATCTAAAGGAGGCGATTTGCAACACTCTCACTTATTTCTTGCGTCGTTAGTTGTGGATGTTTCAGACAATCGTTTATCATTTTGCTGTTTTGGACTGGATAACCAGTCACTAGATATTTTCTTTACTTCTACTAAACTTTGCATGCCTATAATTTGTAAATATTTGCCTATGTTGTGCCTGCCTCTATTTGATTTCAATTGTACATATGCATGTCCCCTATTTTCTAATGACAAAAAGGGGGAGAAAATATGTCATACATTGCAGGACAAATGTTGAGGGGAGTCAACTTAAGCATATGCAACACCTGTTAAGAGGGAGTCGACCGAAGTACATGCAACACTTGTAATTGGGGAGTCGACTACAACAGAGCAAGCCGATAGGGAAGTAAACTGTTGTTTATATATATTATTTTTGTCATCATAAAAAATGGAGAGATTGTTAAATATGAGTTTCAATGATGAAAAAATAATATATCATGTTTGGTGCAGGATCACAAGGGATAAAATAAAGAAATCAAGATTCCATATCATTCAAGCATGGACTAAGGAACAATCTATCAACGGAAGCAAAGGAACTGAAAAGTACCAATGATTAGCTATGAAAAAGGAAAAAGCAGCGAAAATCCGGAAGATGAATCAATCAATGGTTTGATAGATGATTGACGGAAGCTAGTATAAGAAGGTCTCAAAATCAAAGGAAAACAATAGTTCAAAGCTCTACACTGGAGATCGTTAAAGCCTAAAATCAATGGATCCATCATCAATCACTCAAGTAACGGAAAGATCTGCCCAACGGAAGAAAAGGCTGTCAAGGCCACAAGTCAAGGAAGATCAACGGAAACCTGACCTTATTCTTGGAAAGAATCAATTTGCGATTCCTTTCAAGAATCAATTCCCTTGGGTTTGTAATCTCTCAAGACTCGCGTCAATCAAGAGTCAAGAAGGCCTCACGAAGTATATATACATTTGTTCCAGGCTTGAAACAGACATACTTTGAATGAACCATTATCATTCTTTTTATTCTACTCCAAACAAGCATTGCATTTTTTTTAGATCTGCCGTGTAATTAGTGAGAGAAGAAAAAGAGATAAACACTGGTGAGACATTGTATCAAGAAGGGAAAAGTGACATAAAGACTAAGCTGCTGGTGTAAAGCTACATCAAACATCTTGTACTCGAGAAACTTCAAATACTGAAAGAGATCACCCTTGCAACTCAAGGGGACTGGACGTAGGATTCACATTGAATCTGAACCAGTATAAAAATCCTGGTGTCTTTATTTTCTGTACTTTATTTCTGTATTATTATTATTCTATTCTTATCTCTAGTCAACTAATTGGTAAACTAGTCAACTACTTAGAGTAATGAAAATAAAAATCTACAATTAAGCCCGTTGTATTTTCAATTAGCCCGCCCTCCGTGGGCATCACATAAATTATTCCAAATTGTTGACTGGTCAATTAGTTTTCTTCTCCTCTTCGTTGTGCAGATGCAAAAGTTGAAAAAAAATATTGATGCAACTTGCAACTACGCATATAAAATACAAATTTAATACTAGATTTAACACGTATATATACACAAAATGCCTACTCTGGAAAGTGGGGCGAAAGCAAAGGGAATCAAGTGGTATTATATCAACCTTATCATGTTCAACTAATTTAAGAAAAGGTATTAGAAAAGTAAGATGACAAAACTGTTTTCTATAAGATTCTTCATTTTTTTTCCACAGAAATATAGCGAGGATTTGAATGACATTCATTATTCGAAGCAGCTAATAGATCTTTTCGTTTTCCTTTGGTAGGTGGTAATAATTTAACTAGAGATTTCTGCACTTTCCTTTGGTAGGTGGTGTTAAACCAAAGGGCCAAATTGGAGCTCATCGGTACTGACTTCATCCTTCATTTTTCCTCCCTCCGCCATTAGAAAGAACATCAAGTTCATTAAAGCAAAGGAAACGATGGTCGGCTTTGAGAGAGAGACTGAAATGCTTATGGATCAACTTGTGACTGGACTTCGGCAATTAGATTGCAGTTGTATTGGTCGCTGGTCTTCGTGCAGAACATGATAAGGAAGTAATTTACTGGCAAGAAATAGGTGAAACTTTGAAGTCAAAACTAGAAGGTTGCATGGATATAGTTGAATCAAGTTACCAACACTTACCTATTCATTTGCAAAAATGCTTTCTCTACTTTGCTTCATTTCTAGAGGACCAGAAAGTTCCTGTTCAAAAACTGATACGACTGTGGATAGCTGAAAATTTTATTGAAGCCAGTATTACATCAAAGAGCTTAGAGATGATTGCAATGGATTACTTGACGGATTTAATTAGGAGCAACCTAGTGATGATGGCTAAAATAAATTCCTTAGGGGAGATCAAAGCTGTCCATATTCATGATTTAATACACGAATTTAGCTTGGTGCAAGCTAAAAAGGACAACTTTTTGCCGAGGATAAATGAGTAAGTAAATTTAATGTTTCTTGTTGTTGTGAACTTGTGAAAATGGAACTTACCTTTCTTTTCTTTCTTGAACCAGAGTAGGTGAATTTTATTCTTCTCGCGGAAGTTGGCTGAGGAGAATTGGGCAAGTAAAATCAGTTATGTGTATCTTGTTGCTGCTTATCATGATAATGCCTCGATCTGATGCTTCTTCTCCTGCTTGAACCAGACTTGGTATATTTCCATCTTCTGAGAATCATTGTAAACGTGTGAATGTTTTAGCACCTTGTCAAGTGCTTCTTGGAGATAAATTTAGCTTTGGACGAAATATCAACACCTTACGATTCCTTCCCAGTGTAAATTCTCCTTTTGTTGATTATGATTTGAGTAAATCCCGGAAACATCTCAGAGTATTAGATTTTGGTTCCGTAAAGCTGTGTAGGACAAGTATAGATGCATTACAATATCTAATTCATTTGAAGTATTTGGAGCTGCAGTTGTACTTGTACTTTGATCACATTCCAAATTCAATATGCAACCTGAAGGAGCTAGAGACGTTTATAGTGACAGGAATCTGTTGTCAAGCCTGCAATCCAAAAACCATTTGGGGCATGATAAGCTTGAGGCATCTGCATATAAATGATCTTTATATAGATCTGTCCGAAAACCAATTAGAGGATCTTGACAATTTACAAACCTGTTCTGGTATGGTTATTTATCCTGGGGGGGTGGGGGATCTCCAGTATTTTATGAAAAGATTTCCCAATCTTGAAAAGCTTAGTTGTCAATTGTATGGTTCAGGAACCCCTTCTGGCAATTTCTTTCCTGCTTTTGAAACTCTCAGTCAGCTCAAATCTCTCAAGATCGGTGTCTCGAGGGCGGTGGTAGATCCCTATGGTTTTGAGGACTTCACATACCCCTCAAACCTCAAGAAATTAACTCTAGTATATCTTAGGCTCCCCTGGAGTAAACTTTCAACCATTGGCAGACTGTCCAACCTTGAAGTTCTGAAATTAGAAGAAAGTTCTTTCATCGGGAGAAAATGGGACGTTAACGATGGGGAGTTTCCTAGCCTTAAAGTTTTGAAATTAAAGAAACTAGGATTCTCAGAATGGACTGCCTCCGATGACTCGTATCCTAACCTTCAGAAAGTAATGGTGCATAGTTGTTGGAGCCTAGAGGAAATCCCTGAATGTTTCGGAAGCAATTGTACACTGCAACTGATTGAGCTTAGATCATGCGGAGACAATGTTGTAAATTCTGCTTTGAAAGTTAAGGAAATGCAAATTGAGGAGATGGGAAATTCTGAATTCAAGGTCATTATTTCTAAGTGAAAGTCAATAGTCAAATTCAGATATATAGGGGTAACGAGCAATGGTCTTTTCTCTTTTAATTGGCTCTTTTTTAAAATATAGTAGTTTCTATTTTCCGCAAGAGCGGTAACATCCATGTCATTCTTTATCATTTGATTGAGCAGATGCTTCTTTAAGGAGCTTAATTCAGTCTTGTTGTGATCAATGCATGGCTTGGGACTAACTTCTTTTTAAAATAAAGTAACAGTTCAGTCCAAGATAAATACGAAATATTGAAGGTTCTGAAGCATTGGCAACCTGTAATCAATGTTTGGCCTGCCACTATTGGTAATACATACTATCCTTTTCACCATATGTTTTGAACATGGAATTCATGTCGCAACACAGCTAGACATTAGAGTATGGAGTTGCACTCATTCAGTGGCCAACATTCTTTCCTTTCATCTTTCAATTTAAGCAAAAAATCACACTCAGAGGGGTAAAAGCCGGGTTGCAGCAATTATAGAGGCGATGATATTAATCATTGACTTAGCCCAAGCAAAAGGTGAAGTAGTTTTTGCAGAATTGCAATTTATAAGCAATGAAAGATCAAGTTCTTATGAACTATAGGGGGTGCATCAAACCCATTCAAATGAACCTTTTCTGATATCGATCACACCTTAATCAAGATTACAATCAAATAGTAGCACATTAAAAATAAAAGTGTCCAATGACGCCTGATCTATATCCCCTTCTTCTCTCCCTTTCTTTCACAAAACATCTACTCAATGCAATGAGTAATTAAAGCGATTAGCACGGATGTTACTAGTCTTGGGAAAAAGATAAAGACAGCATCAAATGAACTAAATAAGATCGAATGAGTGAAAAAATACTGTGGATGTTACTAGTCTGGTGGAAAAAGAAAATGATAGCAACAAGTGAAATAGATTTTACAAAGAAAAAAGAAGAGCCAATTGAAAGAGAAAATATCATTGCTCCATACCTTTATATATCTGAACTTGAGGAGGTTGTTTGTCGAGGGAAAACTCTTCTATTAGAAAATCTAAAGACAGGGATTGAGCTCTTAGATCAAGTAAATAACAGGAGGTCCGCTTTAAAATCCAGAACATAAAACAAGGTTATCTAACTGAACGACCAGTCTGATCAAGACTATTGACTTTCACTTACAAATAATGACCTTGAATTGAGAATTCCCCATCTCCTCAATTTGTGTTTCCTTAATTTTGAGGGCAGCATTTACAACAGAGTAGCGACATGATCTTACCTCAATAATTTGCATCGTACACTTGCTTCCAAAATTCTCAGGGATTTCCTCTAAGTTCCAACACCATTGTACAAGTACTTTCTGTAGGCTAGGATATGAGTCATCAGAGGCAGTCCATTCTGAGATTCGTAGATCCTTTAATTTCAAAACTTTAAGGTTAGGAAAATCCCTATCCTTAACGTCCCATTGTCTCCCTCTGAAGGCATTTCCTTCGAGTTTCAGAACTTCAAGGTTGGATAATCTGCTGATGGTTAAGATTCTACTCCAGGGAAGTTCAAGACATGCTAAAGTTAATTTCTTGAGGTTTGACGGATATGTAAAGTCTTCAAAACCATAGGGATCTACCAATTCCCCAGAGACACCAATCTTGAGAGATTTCAATTGACTGAGAGAGTCAAAAGCAGGAAAGAAATTGCTAGACGGATTTCCTGAGCCATATAATTGACAACTGAGCTTTTCAAGATTGGGAAATCTTTTCATAAAATTCTGGTAATACATCCCAGGAAAAATAAGCAGATCGGAACATGTTTGTAAGTTGTCAAGATTGTGTAACGGTTGATAGGTATATAGAGGAGTTATATGCAGATGTCTCAAGCTTGTCATACTCCAAATGGTAATGGGAATGCAGGTTTGACTATGGTATCCAGTCACTATAAATGTCTCTAGCTTCTTCAGGTTGCATATTGAATCTGCAATGTTATGAAAATACAACTGCAACTCCAAATACTTCAAATGAATCAGATGTTGTAAAGCATCTACAAGTGTCTGGCGTAGCCTTACGGAACTCAAATCTAATACTCCTAGATGTTTCCAAGTCAAATCATAATCAACAATAGGAGAATATACACTAGGAAGGAACCGTAAGGTGTTGATATTTCGTCCAAATCTAAATTTTTCTCCAAGAAGCGCTCGAGAAGGTGTTAAAATATTCACACGTTTACAACGAATCCCAGAATTTGGAAATATAACAAGACTGGTTCAAGAAGGAGAAGAAGCATCAGATCCTGACTCGCGAGGCATTATAATGATAAGCAACAACAAGATACATATAATTGATTTAACTTACCCAATTCTCCTCAGCCAACTTCTGCGAGAAGAATAAAGTTCACCTACTCTGGTTCAAGATAGAAAAGAAAGATAAGTGCCATTATCTCAGCAAGAAAAAAAACATTAAATTAATTTTACTAACCCATTTATCCGCAGCAAAAAGTTCTCGTTTTTAGCTTTTACCAAACTAAATTCATGTACTAAATCATGAATATGGACGACTTTAAGCTCCCCTAAGGAATTTATTTTGGCCACCATTACAAGGTTGCTGCTAATTAAATCCATCAAGTAATCCATGGCAACCATTTCTATGCTCTTCGATGTACTACTAGCTTCAACAAAATTTTCTGCGATCCATAGTCGTATCAGTTTTTGAACAGGAACTTTCTGGTCTTCTAAAAATGAAGCAAAGTAGAGAAAGCATTTCTGCAAATGAATGGGTAAGTGTTGGTAACTCGATTCAACTATATCCATGCAACCTTTTATTTTTGACTTCAAATTTTCACTTATTTCTTGCCAGTAAATTACTTCCTTATCATTATTTGCAAGAAGACCTGCTATTAGTATAATGGCAAGGGGTAATCCTCCACACTTTCTTGCTATTTTCTTACCGATCTCCTCAAGTTCTTGTGGACAATAATTGTCTTCTTTGAATACTTTCTCCTTCAGTAGCATCCAACTTTCTTCTTCTGTGAATAAACGAAGGAAATGAGGACTCGAAGAGATCATGGCATATGTGGCGATTGATTCAAGTCTGGTCGTCAAAATAATTCTACTTCCTTTATCATCATCTGGAAATGGTCTCTTTATATCATCCCATGCCTCATCATTCCACACATCATCTACAACAATAAGGTACCTCTTTCCCTTCAAATATCTGTATAGCTTCTCAGCTAGCTCATCATCGCTCTTTTCTTTGGTGCTTGTATCAAGCTTAAAAATGTGATTCAATAATTCGAATAAGAGAGATCTCTTATCATAAGATTGAGAAGAACAACACCACAAGCGAATATCATTGGAAATTGCTTCATGATCATACAATCTTTTAACCAAAGTTGTTTTTCCAAGTCCTGGCATTCCAAAAATTGAGATCACATCTAATTGCCGAGGCCCTGTCACCAGTTTCTCCATCAGCATCTCAGTCTCTCTCTCAAAGCCAATCATCGCTTCCTTTACTTTAGTGACCTGATGTTCTTTCTGAAGATAGAGATGGGAGAAATGGAAGAAAAGATGAACAGTCAACAATGAACTCCAACTTGGTTCTTTTGCTTTACAACTAGAAGGATATTATAGTGTAAAGAGAAGACTTTTAACAAATGCTGTCCTCAAGAAGTGGGAAAAGGTTATTATAGTGTGAACAAGTTGATAACTAGATCAAGCAGTTTGGTCAACACCAACCAAACCAACTTGCTTGAAACTATTGAAATTTTAGTACATGAGAACTTTTTTTCTTTCGGCAAAAGGGACTACAATTTTTCAACTCCACAACAAAGAGTTTAAGGATTCGTAAATCATCTACGAGGTGCAAATTAGAGACCACAATCCAAAAATACCTTTAAATTTTTTTAAAGCTAGAATTGTAAAGCAAATAGTAGCAAGAAAAAAGATACAAACAAAAAGTGAAAAATTGGAGACAAAAATCTGAAGAATCCGACTGTGGTTGCCTGATAATTTCAAGTACCATCGATTGAGCCGCTTTTTAGACTTAGATGCCTCTCCGTCTAAATCGATTGAGTCGCTTTAATAGAGTATTTCGCAGCCTTAGCATCTCCTTTCCCGAGTTCGACACAAGTAGCTCCAAGGAAGCCGAGGCTTATCATAAACTCCCATCCATTGATATTGAGGTAAATAGAGAAGGCAGATGTAGCAACCTCTGCATTTCCTTACATCGTGCGAGCAGAGGCGGATCCATGATTTGGAAGTTTCGGATGCCACATTGTTTATGAACCTGGACATGTTACAGTTTAAATAGTCCAAATAGGGTATACGTTTAGTCGATTTGATCTTTTGAGTTTCAATTTTCGATTTATGATAAAGTTTGAAACAAAAGCAACTTTAGAGAAGCTATTCAACTCTCAATTTTTCATTAAAATTGACTCACTTAAGAGTATATACAAGTATTATTCTGCAAAGTGACAAAACAATGAACTTTCATCCTTGACTAAAACAGTAACTTATCCAACGATTTCTATTTTTGTTTATCCGAAAAATCGGATAGAGTTAAATTTATGTATGGTTTTAAGGACACGTGATATAACTTGATACAAATTGTAGAGTGAAATGTAAAAATCTCTATATTTGGCAAATGGAATGAAATATAAGGCAGCGAAAAAGGAAAAATTGATGAACAAGGCAACATCCTCCCCCTTAAATGTGTTAACATCCCCCTCTTATATTAGAGTGATCCTACTTTATCTATAATAAAAATATATAGTGGAGGACCCACGATGAATTATTTTTTCCTCGATTTCCGCCAAGATTCTCTCCCATAGTGCGGTTGCAACGGCTCTTGTCTGCGAGCTCGATACTAGCTCGAGCTCGGTATTGGATCGAGCCCTCGGCCTTGGTTCGAGCTCGATTCTGACTTGGGGTCTTGATATTCGGGGTGAGTGTTGGTCGGTCTATGCATCTTCGATAATCTTCTTTTTGCCTCATAGTTCGATTTGGATATGAGCTCGATAATGATACTGAGCTTGTCATTGATCGGTCTTAGAGCTCGAAGCTCGACGCCCTTACTTCGGACTTCAATCGAGCTTGTCATGCAGATACCCTTTGATTGAAATATTATCGTCTCGACCAGTCCGTATGACTGATTCAATCGGTTTTAACCGTACATAGATAGTCTCCTCGTTTCTCGGAAAAGGATGTGGCGAGAAACGATATGATTTTCCAACAGCTCGATCAGATATATGCTGACGTTTACATCGATCCCGACCATGACGTATGTGATAGTTGTCCCATCGGTTCGGTTTTACCAAGGTATTTAATGTTTGTCAGACGGTGGTCGGCCACCGCTGATATTGAACTGACATTGCTTCAATCTATAAATAGCCTTTCCTTCAACCATTCATTACTTTTACATCTTCAATCTTCCAAATTTTCTAAGTTCCTTTTCGTCTTTTCTGAGTTTTCTACCTGCAAATCTGTGAGTTTTACTGCAAACTCTTTCTTAAAACACCAAATACTTGCGTTCTTTGTTCACGGAATTTTAAATGGCAAAAACATCTAAAACTGTTCCGCAAAAAGAGATCGCTTCTTCGTCTCGACCTGCTGGTGGCGAGGATGTGGAAGAGCCCCGCCCTGAGGAATTCGTTCCGGTAGGGTGTTCGACTATAGGTGATTTTAAAATTGAAAAGCCTTCTCCGATACCGGGTCGGTGTGAGCCGATGTCGGGGTACCAATGTTCAATTACCCAAAAATTCTCGATAAAGTCATACAAGAATGTAACTGGAATAATAAACTCGTAGTAATCCCATCGCCTGATGAATCAATTACTACCCACGTTGAAGGGTTCTTAAGTGTTTACACTTATCCTTTCACGTTGGGACCTCTAGACCCTGTCATCGTTGCCTTCTGTAAGAGGTACGATGTGACCCTCGGCCAAATCCACCCTTCCTTTTGGAGGATAGTTATTCTTCTTCGATTTTTCTCGAGCAAGGTCGAGGGGCGTATCTTCACCCTCGATCATCTTATGCGCCTTTATAGTCCCCGACTTTATCGAGGAGGATTGATCAAGCTTACTCGCCGAGCAACCAAAGCGTCATTCTCGAGCATAGACGAGACTCGGGATCGGGGTTGGATGGGCAGTTTTGTTCGAATCAAAACCTCGGAACTGATCCCTGCCGATGACTTGCCATTTCCCGAGAAATGGAATATGAGCCGTGAGTAAACGTTTCTCTTTGCCCATTTTGATTTTGTGATTGCCTTTTATTTTGTTGATCCATTTTTCTTTTCTTATCACAACCGTAGCTCGAATGCCGGAACCTATCCCGGATTTTAAACAATGGGTTGAAAGTCTGGTGTTGCAGAGACCGTACTCCGAGCGTACTTGGATCGAATTATCAAAGGGTCGATGGGAGGCCCGCAGTCATGGTAAATCTTTTTATAGATTTGTCTCTTCATCGATTTGTATAGTAAATCTCCATTTTCCCTTTTGTAGGACTCGAGAAAGATGTAGTCATGAGGCCCCCATCTGGTGGTGAAGAAGTTCCTGCCCTGAAGCAGGTAAAAGAAAGGAAGAGAAAAGACGTATCGGGCTCCCCGAGCTCTAAAAAGAAGAAACCGGCTAAGAGATCTCGAAAGCCGAAGGGGGGCTCTGGTGTTATGTCTTCGGAAGTGGCTCGCCATTTAAGGGACGAGCCCGAAGAAGGAGAGGAGAATTTAGCCTGCGTACGGGCTAATGTTGTGATTCAACAGTCTTCCAATTTGGTGGAAGCAAATCAGGGAACCTTGGCCATAATCCAAGAACAAGAAGAAGCCAAAATTATCCTTTCTCGAGCTAAGATGATTGAAAGGGATACCGAGGGTGGATCTTCTCGGGCAGTAGAAGATATTTCAAGGGATGAGTTCTGGATAGTTGACATTGGCGGATCCCCTCAGATTTCGGATGCCATGATTCGAGAGGCTGTCATGTTGGAGGATCGGTCCTATGGGGGTATTCAGGAGTCGGCCGATATCCATGGTTTTCTGGAGGGGCTCGAGTCAGGTGCCTAGGAGGAGGTTACCGGTTTTGGTGGAATGTCGGTACCCAAAAAAAGCGTCGTGGTCGGGTTCTACCAAGCCTTCATCGATTCATAAACAGGTGGACCGATTTCCGTCCTCGAGTATCGATCCCGACCGAAGGCGGAAGATACTGCTCTCCGTACCTGCGGATACCTAAATTTTTTCTTCCCCTATGGGTATTGCTAGTTACCTTCGGTCCTTGGTGACTGAAGAAAACCAATCAGTGATGAATGCGGTGGGGCCCTCCTGTCTCTTCAACGAGGCCCAACATGCTTTGAATCGGGTAACTCTGATGGCGTTTTTGCCGCTTCTTTTACACAGAGTTGTAGGTAATTCTAATGTTTCTCCTTTTGTTTATAGGCTTCGGTGTTGCATCATGAGGCCTTTCTTCGAATTCAGGAGGAGCATGATACCGAGGTTCGGAGCCTCACTGAGAAGAGTGACTCGTACAAGCTCCTTAGTGAAAAACTTCGAGCAGATTTAACAGCGGCTCAGGAAGAGCATGAGGAGATGGCTGAGCAGGTATTCTGAATGTTCCATGATAGTGAAGATGAAAAAGAGATAACCACTAACGATCCGATTTTGCAGGTTCGGATGAGGATCGAGCAGATTAGACGGCTTAACTCACAGGTAGATACGCTACTGGCCGATGCAGAAGAATTTAAAAAGTGTATGGATATCCTTGCCTCGAAAAAGGAAGCCGTTCAAGCTCAATTGGAGTTGTCTGATGCCCAACTTCGATCTGCGAAAGAAAATGCTTCGGGGCTGATCGAAAAGATGAAAGAGCTTCAGCATTGGTTGGATTTGGCCACTTCAGATAAAGCAGATTTGGCTAAAGAACTAGAAGTGTCCAGATCTGAGGTGATCGAGGCCAATAAAAGAGCTGATGCCAAAGTGACTCAGTTCAGGATCGATGTCGAGGTTAACCAAGCCAAAGCTGAGAGCATGGTCGAACATGCAAAATGGCAAGCTTGGAGAGAAGCTCTCGAGGAGGTCAGAGCTCAGGGCTTTGATATTGGGGCCGAGATTGAAGTCGCCAGGGCGGAGGAGAACAAAGCTCGAAGGTTGGCCTTTCCTGAGGAGGACTCCGATGACTCGGGGGAGTCTGAAGATGAGGACGATGCCGAGAATACGACCTCCGATGAAGATTAAATCATTTAGGGCCTTAGGTCGCTTGCTACATTCTTTTGATACCGCTTTCGGTTTTTGTATAAAGAACTTCCTTTTGGCAAAGTAGCCGCCTCTGTACAAAATATTTGTAAATATAAATCTTTCTTCTTTTTGAAGCAAAATAGCCTTTCAAGCTAAATAGATAGTTTGAATTTTAATCTATGTTGCCTTCGGGTCTTGTGAGTAGTCCCTTTTGCTTTATCGGGCTCGAACATCCTTCAGCCTTAAATAGTCAAGTGTTCGTTTGAATTCGAAGAAATGAGTAATTTTACTCGAAGTAATGTAGCCCGTATGCGTAATGGTCGAGTGAGTGCTTTCTCGAACTCGAAATAAAAGTGGCCCGTAGGCTTAGTGAATAATTCGAACTCGAAGTAATGTAGCCCGCAGGCGTAATGGTCGAGTGAGTGCTTTCTCGAACTCGAAATAAAAGTAGCCCGTATGCTTAGTAGTCAAGTGAATGATTTGAACTCGATGTAATGTAGCCCGTAGGTGTAATGGTCGAGTGAGTGCTTGCTCGAACTCGAAATAAAAGTAGCATGTAGGCTTAGCAGTCGAGTGAATGATTCGAACTAGATGCAATGTAGCCCGTAGGCATAATGGTCGAGTGAGTGCTTGCTTGAACTCAAAATAAAAGTATCCCATAGGCTTAGTAGTCGAGTGAAAGATTCGAACTCGATGTAATGTAGCCCGTAGGCATAATGGTCGAGTGAGTGCTTGCTCGAACTCGAAATAAAAGTAGCCCGTAGGCTTAGTAGTCGAGTGAATGATTCAAACTCGATGTAATGTAGCCCGTAGGCGTAATGGTTGAGTGAGTGCTTGCTGGAACTCGAAATAAATGTAGCCCGTAGGCTTAGTAGTCGAGTGAATTATTCGAACTCGATGTAATGTAGCCCGTAGGCGTAATGGTCGAGTGAGTGCTTGCTCGAACTCAAAATAAAAGTAGCCCGTAGGCTTAGTAGTCGAGTAAATGATTCGAACTCGATGTAATGTATCCTGTAGGCGTAATGGTCGAGTGAGTGCTTGCTCGAACTCAAAAACGTAGCCTGTAGGCTTAGTAGTCGAGTGAATGATTCGAACTCGATGCAATGTAGCCCGTAGGCATAATGGTCAAGTGAGTGCTTGCTCGAACTCGAAATAAAAGTAGCCC